TTCACTAAGATTTCCCATAAATAAGATGGTTTAAAGGGAACATACAATGATGAGAATCCACTCACTTTCCATCCCTTGAGAATCTTTTCCTTGCAAAAACATTGGCCAAAGAGTAAGTGCTGGATTGAGTTTATTGGAAAAGGATGCTGTCTTCATATTCAATCTTGGTTTCTCTAGAGCATCAAGGTTTTTATTTTCCATAGGTGATATGTAATATGCGAAGTTCTTTGCAACCAGATCATCATTAACACAAACCTGTGTAATTTTAAACATTTCATGAATAAGGCAAACATAGAGAAGTGACAATTAAGAAAATATTCCAAACTTAACCCCAAATTTCAATCTTCATAAAAATTATTTTATAGAACATAATCTGACAGAAATTGATCTCCTGACTTCTGCTCCAGTAATGGTGAACCAGAGCCCTTTGTCCAACCTTCCTGATAAGAAAAACAGTAAGAAACTGTAGGAAATCTAAGAAAACATCTTGTAAGCACTAAAGAGCTAATATGACTTCGCCAGACAAAGACCTGGGGGGAGGGCGAAGAGAAAACAATCATGAAAGGAAAAACTGATAAATTAGACTTAACCAAAATTTTAAATTTCTGCTTTTCAAAAGATACTATTAAGGGTAGTCCACAGAAAGGGAGAAAATATTTTCAAATAGTATCTCTGACTGGACATGTATCCAGAATAAACAAAGAATTTTCAAAACTCACTAAAAAGAAAACAAAATCAATTTTTAAATGGGCAAAAAATAGTAATGAAAACAGTATGGTATTGGCATAAAAACAGATTTATAGATCAACTGAATAGAATAGGGAGTCCAGAAATAAACCCACCCATATATGGTCAATTAAATTCTGAAAAACGAGCCAAGAATATATGGGGAAAGGACAATTTCTTCATTAAATGGTGCTGGGAAAACTGGACAGCCATATGCAAAAGAATGAAACTGGACCACTTTCTTACATCATACGTACACAGAAAGAAACACAAAAATAAACACAAAGTGGATTAAAAACTTGAATATAAGATCTGAAACTATAAAGTTCCTGGAAGAAAACACAAGGTAGCAAGCTCCCTGACATTGGTCTTGGAGATGATTTGTCGGCTTTGACACCAAAAGCCAAAGGCAACAAAAGCAAAAATATAGCAGCAGCACTCCGTCAAACCGAAAAGCTTCTGCAGAGCAAAGGCAAGCACCAACAAAATGAGACGATTCTGATTAAGAGAAAATGTGGGTGTATCATGTATCTGATAAGGGATTAATAGCCAAAATATACAATGAACTCTTACAACTCAATAGCAAAAAACAAAAACAAAAGCAAACTCCCTAAATAGTCCAATTAAAAAATGGGCTGAGGATCTGAGGATCTGAATAGACATTTTTCCAAAGAAGACATACTGATAGCCAACAGATAACATGGAAAGATGCTCCAATCCACAAAGATGTATCTCTTCACATCTGTTACAATGGCTACTGTTAAAAAGGCAAGATACACCAAGTGTTGGCAAGGATGCAGAGAAAAAGGAACCCTCATGCAATGTTGGTGGGAACATAAATTGGTGCAGCCACTATGGAAAACAGTAGAGAGGCTCCTCTAGAAATTAAAAATAGCGCTACTACATAATCCAGCAATTCCACCTCTATGCGTTTATCTGAAGAAAATAAAAACATTAACTTGAGCTTTTCAGGGCAGCAACGGGTCTGTGGAGCTGCCCCAGGAGCTGAAGCTGTCATGTCCCCTCTACTTCAGCTTCCCACTGCACACAATAAAGGCCGTCTGTACCACAAAACAAAACAAAACACTAACTTGGAAAGATATATGCATCCCCATGTTCACTCCAACATTATTTACAACAGCCAAGTATAGAAACAATCTAAGCATCGATTGGTGTGGATGAAAGGATAAAGAAAATTAAGATGCATATACACACATACCATGGTATATTACTTGACCACAAAAAATAATGAAATCTTTCCATTTGTGACAACATGTATTGACCTTAAGGACATTATGCTAAGTGAAGGAAGTCAGAGAAAGACAAATGCCATATAATTTCCACTTATATATGGAATATAAAAAAAAACCAACCAAGCTCATAGATACAGAGAACAAATTGCACTGGTGGTCGCTAGAGGCAGGGTAGGGGGCAATATGAGGGGAAGGTGGTCAAATGGGTGAAGGGAGTCAAAAGGTAAAAACTTCCAATATAAAA